GGGTTTAGTACCCATAGCCTATGAGGTTAAAGAGGAAAACATCAGGTGGTCTAATGACTCATCAGTTAAGCAATTAGCTGTTAGTTCACAGGAGTTCGTTCCCTTCCCGTGCCAGGCTTCATGTGGGCTGTATTATCTGACTGGGCTTGCCACTACTTCCTCCCCCATGATCGAAGGGCCCGGCGAGTGGCTTCCAGCAGCAGCTGTGTCCAAGCTTCTGTGTTATCAGTTAACCATTTTAACTGATATAATTAGAGGAAGTTAAACAAATGATTTTTAAACAATATTTACATTCCTAGAACGTAACAACATAAGATCAAAATTTGTATCAGTCTTGCACTAGATTGAACATCTGGTAACACAGTTTATTGAACCCAAATGTGCATTGCTACATGAGGAATTCAAACTGGAGAAATTGAACAGTATATTGAATTGCATGTTCTTGATGCTCTAAAATTTGCATGGACACTTGCATTAAAAAGTGATTTTTAATTTAGATTTATAATTTAAAAGACACTATTTTTTTGAGGTACAATATACCTCTTTCTATAAATAAACTAACCCGTAGTGCCAACAAACACATACACCATGGCAAATCTGGTTGTGTTTTTATTATTTGTCTTTGAAATATGCTGTGATTCCCATGATTTTTTAAATAAATTTTGTGCCAGCTACTTCTCTGGAGTAATCTGTAGAGACTATATAGAAACCATATAACTTGAGCAAGATCTTAAAATTGTTTTTATCAGGTCTTTTTGCATTTTCTCCTTTTAAGTTATTGATATTTTGCAACAGTAAATTTCAATTGACAGCTGTTAGCAGAATTGATTTTTTTTCTCCTTTACTTTCATTGAACAGGGGTTGTATCTAACTTTTGTAGTTGCATTCAGCTCTTACTTTGAAATTGTCATGCATGTTGTAACTTGTTTGTCTGCAGACATTTTTGTAGTTACTAGGGTGCCAGTTCATTGCTGTTGATGATAATATCCTACCATGTACACCTGGCCCTTTCTTTTTCATTATGTATTTATCTTGGATGTTTGGAAGTTGGGAAAAAATATTGTAACTAGAATCTGAGCAAAGTTGTACATTCATTCATCAGATATGATGGAATTCCTTTTCCCCCCTCCCATCCTCCCCCACTATCTGAGTGGTGTTTCTGA